CCCACCTACCCCCCAGATCAGACCATAGGGGAGAACTGGGAGAGTCCCCCCAGCGACCACATGTACAGCCCCCGGGCCAGCAGCGACAAACTCATGGGCCCCACCGGCAGCCGCCATACCAGAGCAGATCYAGGAAAGGGCACAGAGGTCCGGGCTCCCAGGGCGCACCCACCCCCACCCCCCGGCCAAAGCCCTACAGGGCCACAGGCCCCGAGCCCCTGCAGGCATTCACCAGGCCAGGCCGGCACACACCCCAGCGCCCAGCCCCAAATCCCAGGGGAACCCCCAGCACGCCAGCAACCAGCCGCACACCCCACCGGGGGGCCGAGTAGCAGCGGGCCCCCAGATAAACCAGCAGGAGGGGCAGCCCAGACCCCAGCCTGTCAAATACCCAAACATAAACATACACATACACAATCGCACCATCCCACCCTCACCCTCACCCCCACTCAATCAAAGACATACAAGGACGCCACATTCCACTCATACCCCCGATACACACTCTATACCGCCCAGGTCCAGGACATGCACACACCCCCTATTGGAGGCAGCACACACCCGAACCCAGGAGGTAGACCCAATCATTCTGAGGTGGAGAGGAGCAGATAGCCAAGGCCCGGCCCGKGCCGCACCAGGACGCCCGGCCAGCCCCCCGCCGCAGAGAAGCCACACCCATGACCACCCCACCACACCGCAACGGCCAAGTGAACCCCCCCAGCCGATCACCTCCCGGAACCCGGCAGCCACCCCGGCCAGGGGGCCACCAACAGGAACCAAGAGCCACACCTCAGGAGACCAAGCAGCACCAGGGAGGATGGAGAGCCAGCCCCGCCCCCGGCAACCGTCCACACCCCGAGCCCACCCACAGCCCAGGACCGCACCCAGCGGCCCGCTCTTCTTCAGGACCCCCTCCCCAAATGGCAATCGGGGAACGGGATGGGAATAAAGACCCTGACAGACACACCCCCACCCACAGATGTACTGTTGGTGCGTGTTGTTCTATAGAGCAATTAAAAAGGGAAAGAAGAGGCAGAGGCCGGTGTGGTGCCAGTTTCCCCTCCACCACTACTCTAACCCAAAACCCTAAGTGTCTATATKCAAACCTAGGGGGGTGGGCACAGGTACAGGAGGCGAGAGTGGTGCCATCCGGCCACCTATAGCCATGAGTGCCCACCTTAAGCTCCTATATGTGAATGTCATAGTTAGCATATAGCTAAAATCTAACCATAGTTATATAATAGCAGCTGCATTCTGGCGCGATAAGCTCTGTTTTATAWTTAATTAACATATGATCCGATTAGTCGACTAATCGAAAAAATAATCAGTGATTAATCGATTAAAAAAATAATCGTTTGTGGCAGCCCTATCTACGATCGAGTAGTTCTGATTTTTTCCAATCACAGTATTGACACCAACAGAAGAAGTGAAGGTTGTGCGCACAACAGAAGATGAAGGGGTTTTCCAGTATACCATGTACAGTGAATGTATTGTAATGTGTGTCTGTTGTCAAGTGCTTTTAAATTATATTTTCATATGTAACGTGGAGACCAATGTTTCCTTTTTGTATGGGGGGGGGAGGGGTTCAACAGGTTCTGAGAAGAGTGACTTGTAACTGATGTCTTTCTTTATAAAGGATGAGCTGCTTAAATGTAAAAAAGAAACAAATAAAAAACAGCAAAATAAAGTAAACATCTTTTGAAGCTCAAATTGATATTCATTATTTGTTGTTAAAAAAAGGACAATGCAAAAACATTCATTTAGACAAGCTTAATTTATTCATAAAGATCTTTGCAGTACACATTTAAATTATCTTTCCAACATTCTCACGTGAAAAGGACTCATGATGTACACAAATATTTGCCTTGAGATTTCCAGACGTGCYGTTTTTTTTGTTTGTTTTGTTTTAAAGCCGTCAGAAAACACTTTGTAAGGACAGTAGATTAGACGAGCAGCGGTACGAAGCAGTCGACACATTTAAATCACATTCAGTCATGAAGGCTCACAGACTTGCACACAAAACAACAATTTCACAGTCCTTGCTTAAAAAACAATATCAGTAACCTTGCTTTTTTATTTTTATTTTTTAATATATTTTGTTTGTTTCACCTCTCCACCCAGCTGCTTATGACTTAAAAGAAAAAAGTGCACAGCAAGAAGTAAAAACAAGTTTTCTTTCATTTAAACTYGAGGAAGGTGACAATGGAGACAGATTTACAACAGCAACCCACAGGTCTCTTCACAAACATCTTGTCTGTACAGTACATTCAGAATAAAGCCTTATTTTAGTGCAGATACGTGGAAACAGTGCTGCTTCTCTTTAAAACCATCTGACATCTTCTCTAATCACTTATGTACAACTGAACAGTGTTATGTACACATTCAGGAGTCTTAACTATCGTTTTGCATTTACACACTGTCAAGCTTTAAATTCTGTAGGACAACGAAAAAAATGTTTTTTTTTAAATTTATATATGTTCAAGTTCATTTCAGGACTGGGATAATTTTATAATGTTTTTTTTCTCATCCAAACCAAAGCTGATTTTGCTACAATTACATTTTGTTTGCAGAATAAATTAATTATAAAAGCATGCACTTAAGTAAGGGATTGATGCCTTACTCGTAATGTGTTAAAGTGAAAGCAGTTCCAGATTAACTCCTCATCCTTTCCAAAGTGCGTTCTTTTTAGAATGTTTAAAATTGCCCAAATAAAAAGGGGAAAAAAGTGCTCATGATTGTACACAATAACATGTCGACCTAACCGGCTGAACGAAAAGCGTTACCTGTACAGCGGAACAAGAGTTCAGAGCTCAGTCCTCRGCCGTCCCTTTCATTCGATCTGCTCGAAGTTGAGCACGTGGCCGTCGAAGTGCGTGAGGACGTGCCTCTCGAAGAGCTGCTGCTGACAGTTGAGGGGGAACTGCTCGGAGCACACGGGACACACCTTCCAGTGGCTCTCCACGTGCTGCTCGAAGCTGCGCTGCTCAAAGTGGGGTGGGAAGATCACCTCGCACAGAGGGCAGCGCTTGTGTACGTCACTGCTGAGAGGTATGTGTGTGTGTGTGGGGGGGGGGGGGTCAAAGTGGAGGTTTTTGAGTGGCAGAGGAGACAGGAAGATCACTTTGAACAGAGGTGTTTAAGACAGGCTGAGACAAGAAAAACAAAAGGATGAAATTACAGAAAATCAGTCAGGTTGAAAAGTGAGCGGTGCTGTAAATAGACTCCAGGGCTCAAGCGTGGCTCATCTGGATGTTTTCCCTCGCATTCCTTCTCTCACAAAATGTTGAAACACTTACAACTAAAGGCTTTTGTGTGTTTGAATCCTTTTGTGTTCATAAATGACAGAGTTAAAGCGGACATATTCAAAATCCACTTTTTTAGCCATTAAATACATTTTATTTTGTACTTGGGAGTCTGTAGGAGTGCAGAAAACTTGAATTTAGTCTCACCTGGTGCTGCGTAGGTATCTTAATGTTCTGTTTGGGTCATATTTTTCAGTGCAGTTGTTTTTCTCAGAACGAAAGAGGGGCTTGTGGAGTTGCAATAATGGAGGAATTCAGACCAAAGCATTGCAGTTCCACTTTATATACACTCAAACTGAATGATTTAACTATGAAAAAAGAATATGTCTACTTTAAACCTTTTAAATGTTTTTGACAATCTCATGAGAGTTCACAAGGTGTGTTAGCTCTCAGAGGAGGTGCTTTTTTATAACTGACTGATTAGCTGTGGTGGCTGAAAAACGTAATCAGATTTACGACTAATGATTGAATTTCTGTGCAACGGCACACACACACACACACACACACACACACACACACACACACACACACACACACACACACACAGAGTCAAACATTATTGTCCTTTTGCCTTCTGTAGTGGACATCAATTAAAACAATCAGTTTCATTTTTATTTTATCTACACTTCTTCCCTTCTCCCAGAAAAAAAAAACATGCCTCATTAACCACATAAACTGATAAAAGAAGCCCTCACATTATATTTTGTGATTAGAAGTTATCCGGGTCAAACATATTCGATATTTTTGGCTTTTTAAAAACATTGGTTTATATTATATTATTATCTCCAGCACACATGGAATCCCTCATTTTTTGGAAATTCATCCTTGCTTTGGTGCACATTTCTAAACCTGTGTGTCTTTCAGTGTGTGTGCTACCTGGAGTCAAAGCAGAAGCTGCTCCTCGCCTCACTGCGTCTGTTGGACTGATGATCACATGACGGCTGAGCTCCACTGACAACCTTTGACAAACAAATCCAAAAGGATTTTAAAAGTTATAGCTGGTTATGCATTTGTGCGTGCATTCACAAACATTTGAAAAAAGTAATAAAAGTAGATATGAGGGTTCTTTAAGTTTCCCTTCCAAACAACCAAATTTATTTTGACATTGAGAAACCGATCTCAAGTCTGTCTTTATGCAAAACCTCCCCTAATTACTCTCCCAGTTCTCATTATCTTCCACTCTCTGAGCTCTGAGGGAGTGACATTAATTAAAGCTTTATGCAAATGAGTTCAAAGCTTCATCCTTTAAGGGCACGCTGCATTTCCCTCCAGTCTGACAGAGGTGCAGTAAAGGAGAGATCATCATGACATGAATATGTTGGCTGCAACACAAAGCCAAGGAAAGYAAAAGGGCACAGAGGAATCCAACCTTCCTGCTGCTAAAATGATATCAACTCGGAACATTTCTTTGGATTTCTAACAGGAAAACGATGACATTCCCAAACAAACCAACGTGGGCCGTGCTGCTACCTACTTGGCGCGCCTCCTCCGGCGGAGGCTCGGCGTTCTCGGGGGCGCTGGTGCTGCGGGACGGCTGGATGCAGACCACCTCCCGCTCCCAGCCAGGCGCTCCTGGGCTGGGGCTGGGCGGCGACATGGGTGGGGCGCAGGGAGGGGCGCAGGCTGGCGCTTCCGGCGGAGGACGGGACGCGGGATCGGGGGACGACGGCCTGTCCGCCCGGTCCACGGCTGCGGCGGGCGGATCAAACAGAAGCACGGTCAAACCGACAACGCAGACGAGGAGAACAGACGGACGAATCAAGTTCACCTTTGGAGGTTTCAGTGGAGTAAGGGTTGCCGTACTGCAGCTCGGCCGGCCTCTGTGGCACGAGGGGGGGTGGGGACGGGTTCTGGGGGTAGGGGAGAGGGTAGCGCAGCACCATGGGCTGCCGGACCTCCGCACCCTGAATGCCAGCCTCCATGTCCCTCTGCCTGGACACATATCGCTGCAGCTTCTGAAAGAAACACAAGTGAGAGGCAGCTCTAAACTACACCTCGACTTCACCGGATTCATATTTAACTAAAACGTTTAAACGCTTTAAGCTCATCAGCCTCATTAGTAATTCAGCCCACATTCTCACCAAGAAGTGAGAAACTACTTTCAATTTACAGTCAAGTTTCTCTAAACACTGTTTTTGCCCTTTGTGATTATATCTGAAAGCAAGAGCATTAGTACCCTACTCATTACTGTAATGGGTGTCAGACTCTGGCTCCCTCTGCTCTGGCTGCTGCTGATAAAAAGAAAGAAAGAAAGAAAAAAATAAAGCAGCTCATTCCTCCCATGACCTCCTCTCTTGATGACTTCATTAGTGCRCTGCTATCAAGTTTAACATTTAAACCAGGGTTGGGAAAGGTGAAACAGACACGTAGCGTGGCATTTGCACTGTCTAATGGCACTGTAGCGGTGGGCGGAAAAAAGGCAAGTATAGCTGTTTAAATTAGTGGGTGGGGGCAGGGAGGAGAAAAAGCGACTGAAAAAGGCCAGAAAAACTGCAGATAATTGAAAGTAATGATAAAAACACATTATTTACATTTAGAGTTGCAGCTTGCTTCGAGCTGATATKAACATTTAGCAGCTTCTGACATCAGACTCGTTACAACACGAAGCTCTTTTGTCGGGGACTGAAGCCAGCTGAAAGTTTATGGGAGCTGAAGCAGGACAGAAACGTATCCTGGGACCATTCTGTGGGGGCGCTGTACCCAACCGGCTTTAACTTCCAGGTTTTATAATAGAGTGCAGTGCTTCTTTTCAAGTCAAACTATAATCTTAGGTTACCATTTTGTATGTATAGCTGTATGCAGCATTTATGAGCAGTCAGTATTTTACCTGCAGTAGACAGCAGACTARCCAAACTTAGTTTGGAGAATTGGGAGATTCACATGAGGGAGTGAAAGCCAACAAACGTCTGACGTTTCACAGGTTTATTAGTAGCTTTATGCTTATAATGGCTAAATGATAGAATTGCATTTTGTATTGGATAAGCCATGTTTTATTGTCGACTCTGTACAGGACGTTAATCTGCTGTGGTGTTTTAAAGTGTCTTACAAGAAAATCTGGCCTGGATTAGAYTGAATTATAATGAACCGGAAAATCAAAAAATAATTTGCGTTCCTTTGCTCTTCTCTGTGGGCGTCTGCTGAGTGACAGCTACACTTATCTAATGTTTTTAATTAAAAAGTCAAATTACAAACTGCAATAAAGTGCCTGTGACATCACATTTTTGCAACATATATGAATGCATTTTTGGAAAGATAACATTAATTAAAAAATCAAAACTAAAAACCAAAAAAAAATTAACATTTATTAAAAATAAAAACCACACTGCTGAGATGTACAGTTATTCAGCATGTGAACTAACAGGAAGTGATGTCAAAGGGGAATGTCAAACAATCCCAGCTAAAATCGAACATATGGAGCCTGATTTACCTCCTGAAGCTGCTGTTTGTCTTTAAGAGCCTGGGCGAGGTTGCGTTTCAGTTCAGTCACCTCGTTGGTTCGCTCTGCCATCTGCACCTGGTGACAGGACACACACACAGTAAAATCAGGGGAAAAATTAAAACCACTCACTACTGCAACATAAAAATAAAAATAAACAAAAACAATCCACAGTCAGGAATCTTAGATAAAAGAACATGCTTGCTGAAAAGATCTTATTTCCTGCTTCAAGCTTATGCCAATTGATGAAGAAGATGGTTGCACATGCCCACAGGTGAGCAAAGTGAACCAAATATTTGTCTTGTGTTTACCCCGGAGCATTGTGAAGCGTGTGGGGCCTACTGTAAAACACATCCGTAAAGCCAAAGAAAGCAGGTCTGCATTCAGAGGGAGATGAGGCGGGTCAGAGGACCGTCATAAATCCCTCACCCTCTAACAGAACCGACCCTGTGGGATAGTTTACATCGCTGGCTGCTTGCTCTTCTCTTATTTCACTCCATTTCAAAAGGTTTCGATTCCCCCCGCTGCTCTCATGGCTCCTCTTTCTGCCTTATGTCTATCTGTCGGTCCTGATTTCATCTCTCTTAAACTCTTGTCTGCTTCTTTTCTCCCTCCCTCCCTAAATTCTCTTTCATCTCCTTTTTGTCCTCTCCGTCTCCCCTCTTTTCACGAATTTACAGCTCACCCTCCCGTATACACACACATGCTTTTGTGTCTCCCTGTGTGTCTCCCTCTCCCTCTCTCCATCCTTCGGCTGATGTAAATAGCCGTAAAGCACATAGGTCTGCGCCTGCCTCTCTCTCTTCAGCTCTCCGGGGCCATTAACAGCAGCTCGGGCCCGAGGGCGACCACCTCAGACAGGAGACTCTATCAAMGTCAAGGGAGAGCCGTATTTACAGCGCAGATAAACACACGCTCACTCATCCAGATTAAATGCCAGCAGGACTCGGGCAGATGTCTGCACATACGTTTGCTCTGGTCAATAACGTGCACCCGGGCAGCACGGAAGCAGTAAAGAAATGTTCTAAACATATATGTAGCTGCACTTCAATGTTTTGCACCTGGTAAATGAATTAATGCATTAGTGCATTTAAAACTTACTAAGCTTTATGTAATACAGGTACAAAATACAACAATTAGGTGGTATTTTTTACTTTTATTTGTTGTAACAACGCTTCTTGGTAATAAATCGTATACTGGGCARCTGATTGGCAGCACCTAGGGGCAGGGGTGGAGACTCGAGTCATTATTATTACGACTTTAGACTTGACTTGAAAAAATATTCAGACTTGTGACTTGACTTGGACTTATACACCAATGACTTGGGACTTCAGTTGGACTTGACCCTGTTTACTTGAAAAGACTTGATATTTTACCCAAAATCCAAAGTGTATTACACATTATTAATAAAGCGGGCCCCATTAATTAATTTATACCATTCTGTATTAACAAACACAGACCACCTGTCTTTTTACAYACTTTTTCACACATGTGTGAGTGAGCTGCAGCGCAGCAAAATCAAATTAACTAGATTTTTAAAATATGGAAAATTATAGTTACAGTATAAGGAAGACTGTTTTTGCATCTAAGTTTATCTGAACTGTGCAATATAGAGGAGCAATTTTAAAATGTTTTTTTTAAATACTTTGTACATTGAGCTGCACATGGTTCATCACGATTTAAGATAAAGATTTTAAAAAAAGAGCACACTCTCTACTTATATTTCACATTTAACTGCAACATTGTTTAAAAAAAAAGACTCGAAAGGACTTGAAATTCCAAGTTTCAGATTTGGGACTTGACAGTTGCCTGTCCTGACTTGAGACTTGACTCAGGACTTGTGGATAAAAACTTGACTTGGTCCCATCTCAGCCTAGGGKTGTAGCGACGGCAAAAAGAAGCCATTTGTGCAACCCACATCCTCAGCTCTACTACTCATCCCACAAATGCATGTTCCTTACAAATGTGACACCATTTAAAAAGGGAGATTAACAGGCTTTCTAACAGTACAAGATTTATTGCCAAGAAGCATTGTTACAACAAAAAAAATTATCTACCAAACACTAATTTACTTACTTTTTGTACTAAGTTGTTTACACATGAGCTGAAATGTTTGTTTGCATCAATTATTTAAGAATGAACTATTTCTTGTCCTCCAGTTCTCAGGACAATCAGGTTGTCTAATAAGAAAACTTCTGATCTGAATTATTGCAGCCAAACTCACAGGAAATGCTGTATTAGCTTCTCTGCATGGATTTGCTGTAAAATTTAGATCACAAATTTAAATTCTTATTCTCGGAATTACCTAAGCTCAAACTTCATTAGGTTTTAAACTTCTCATTCTACTGTCATACTGAAGCTATACCTGTAGGTCATGGAGTTTCTAAAAGTATTTTTAAAACTGATTTAGATCTGTGCTTTTAATGCAAACATCCATCTTTACTTGCACCAGTAAACTAAAGTTTTATAAATATGCAATACATTTAGGGATTATAATCTGATGCATCAAATGTTTCTAATATAATTACATCTATTAGGTTATTTGCTTTACTTTAATATTTGTTGAACTAAAAGTCAGCCTCGCCCTCCAACACGAGTGTCTTACTCTGAATCGCTCCTCCTCATCAGCCAGCCGCTGTCTGAGCGTCTCGTTGATTGCGCACTGCTCCCTCCACTTCTCCTCCATCATGGCCAGCTCTGCCTCCACCGAGAGCGTCTGCTCCTTCTCAGCCTCCTCCGCGCTCCTCCCTCCCGCCTCCAGCAGTCTCTGTTCCTCCACGCCGTCCCTCGCTGGCTCCGCCGTCAGTTCCGCTTCGGCCTCTCCGTGTCCCTCCGCGGCCGGCCTCTCGCCGCCCACCTCCACCCAACTCGTCATCCGCAGACTCTCCTCCGGAAGGCTCTCCTTCTTCTCCACCTTCCCGCTGGCTTCGTTCCCGTCGTCTTCCGTCTGTTTTCCGTCCTCCTCAGCCTCCAAGTCATCCTTTTCTTTCATTGACTTCTCTGCCTGCTGTTCCTCCGTTCCTGTGCTGATGTGAGCCTCTGCAGGCGTGGGTTGCTTGGTTTGGAGTTCTTCGGGGATTGTCATCTCTGCAACTTCCTGCAGAACTGCAGTAGCAATATTTCCTAAAAAAAAACAAAAAAAAAAAAAACAGCTTAAACTCTGTATTGTCTTCGCTCAATGTAATAATTTTTAAGACAAAGGTGAGTTGTGAAACAGGTTGGATAAGGTAACAAATGTCATTAATCTGTTTACTGCCTGCAGCAAAAAATGGCAGAGGATCATGTAAACTTCCTGTCTGTATTTGTAAAATATTTCATGAGCCTATGAATGGACGTTAATGAAGCACAGAAAGTAATAATGAGCACATCTACAATTCAACTGATTCAAGATGGCTGCCACAGCTCATCATAGAAAACACACAAAGTGCTACAACTCAGTTTTACAGACACTGAGATTAAATTTGATATGACAGTTCCAGAGCACAGGCTCTTTATTTCTTTCAGAGGTGTAAAGTACATTTACAGTACTCAAATAAATTTTTGAGTATTTGCAATCTCACCAAGTATTTTTCTAATCAGAACTTTTACTTTTATTTCATCACATTCAAAACATAAAAATGACACTCTAAGGCTTTTATTAAAGTACTATTCTTATCAGTGAAATTTATTTTTACAAGTCATTTCCTGTTAAGGTATTTTTATTTTTACTTAATTTTTTTATATTTTTTACTTATTTTTTAATCAAGTACTTTATGCTCCTCGGGTTACTTTAAGGTATGTGAGACTTTTATTATTCATCCATCCATCATCTATACCCACTTCTTCCTTTCAGGGTCACTGGTGGCCATATCCAGCAGTCAAAGGGCAAGGGGAGGGKTACACCGGGTACACACTTTTACTATATAAACAGAATTAACATTTCTTGTGCATTCAATCATAGATAACCACTTAATCGGTTTTTGAATTTCTTCTCTTTTCTTAATTAATTTTTTTAAGATTTATGAGAATTTACACAGTATTAACTTCAACTTGTAGGTTGTAACTCAAAGCAAGAAATGAAAAAATTTTGTCAGGTCAGGAAAAAACATTATTTATACCTTTAACTGTAGAATGTTTTAGGTTATGGTGAGATATTGTGATCATTTTAAAATTCAAAAAATACCCAACAATTTTTACTGATGCAAAAAAACAAAATGTAATCTATTCAAATATGTAAATAATTGTTAAGTAGATTAAAAAAAAAACGGATTTAGTGTTTGAGAAGAAATTAATTTGAAAATAAAGATGAAATTGTGGGAGTGAATAATGCTAACTTGTACCTTTTGTAGGGGATTCCGGACTAGAGGTCAGTGGTTCTTGTGTCGTCTCAGTCGACACATTTTTCTTGGACTCCTGTAAAGAACCAACAAATGTAAACAAAGTATAATTGTAGTTTTTGGCTGAACGGTTCGTACCGTTTCTTGTCTGATTCTCCGGAGTGAGAGGAACACTCACGCCCTGTGGCTCTGCAGCGCTGAGCTTGGCCACCTGCCTGCGGAGGCGCTGACACTCCCGGTACTTCTCCTTGTAGTGCTCGGCAGCCATGTGGAGGCGCAGTTTCAGCTCCTCCACCTCCCTCTGCAGCTCGGCCTCGGCCTCGGACACCACCATGACGCTGGGCGGCGCATCCCCGATGGTTCCAACACCCTGAAATGCAAGGCTGCCGTTTTAACCTCTACAGTATTTTAAATTTAAAGCAACGACGATCTGAGAGATTTAGAGATGTGCATTAAAGAGGCCGGACACTGACCACCTCCTTGTGAGCGGTGCTCCTCATGCGGTCCAGCTGGCTCTCCATGCGGCGGCACTCCGTCTGAGCGTCAGTCAAACTGGCGCGGAGCTTGTCCGCCTCCACGCGGGCGCGGTACAGCTCCGTCATGGTGTGGTCGCGGGCACTGGCCGCGTCACGGAGCTCCGAGGCCAGGAGGGAGGCCTGCTGCCGGGATGCCTGGAGCTGCTCTTCAGCCTGACGGAGCTGCTCGCGGACGCGGCCTAGTTCAGCCTGAAGCCGCGGGAAAGTGGCAGATCTTTTACTATAAACAGCAACAATAAAACACAGAGTTTGGCAGCAGTTAATCACTACCTTATCAGCTTTGTACGCCAGCAGCTCCTTCTCCAGACTGTCCCGCTGGGCGACACAGACTCGGAGCCTCTCCAGCTCCTCCTGGAACTGAGCGATGGTCACCTCCCTGTTCAGCTCCACCGCCTTCAGCATCTGAAGCTCCGCGCTCAGCTTGGTGTTCTCCAGCTCCGTGCTGCGCAGGTGAGCCTACGCAGATCCCAGAGGAGAGCAGTGAAGCACCAGGTTGAAGGCAGAAATGCAAACATTTTGTCCCATTTTTAAAAAAATCCCCTCACCTTGTAGAGATCTCGCTCGTCCTTCTCATTCTTCAGCTGGCTCTCGAGGCCGTCTCGCTCTGCTGTCAGCTTCTTCAAACGATCTCGCAGACTGCAGCATGAAAAGGTAATGAGAGGTGAATATGTACGCAAATACAAATATAAGCCTTTTTGACTGGAGGTAAATGAAGATGATGTTGAGAATAGAAACTGATTATCACTGCAGGACTTTCTCCAACTCACCAATCCAGCTCCGTCTCCTTCTGCAGGCCTCTCTGGGTGACTCCCAACAGGTCCTCCTCCAGCTGGCGGACCCGGTCTTTGGCCTCAGTCAGCTTCCTCCTTACCTCCTCCCGCTCCTCTGAAAGTCCTTGTGATGAGCGCAGCAGCTCCTGCACAGCAAGGCAGCCGATCACAGCAGCAGTTCAGAAAAACACCAAACTATGATCAGATTAGGAATAAATAATATGTATGCATATGCAGAAGTGGGTAGAGTACCCAAAAGATGTRCTCAAGTAAGAGTAGCACTACTAYAAACAGTTTTACTCAATTAGAAGATGTATTTAATACAAACCTGAGTACTGCGCAACTGAGTAACATCTTAGTTAATATTTTAAAAATGATGTCATCAGACTGACAAAAAAAATAGACAATTATGTGCAAATTCTGGTGTTTTTAAAGAGTAAAACAAAGAMAATTATTAGAAATAAATAACATATATACAAAATAACTAATCCCAGCAGAAGAAACACTTTTCCAAGTCAATTTTTTTCTCATTATGAAACTAATACTCAGAGCATGTAAGGTGTGTATCTGSTGCATTTCTGGTTAAAACATGTTAGCTCTTCATTCAGTGAAGTTRCACAGAGCAGTCAGAAATTTTACTCAAGGGTAGCAATACTTCATAATATTATTACTCAAGTAAAGTAAAAAGTATGGTGTAGTGAAAGTACATTTTTTTTCCAAAAAGTAAATCAAGTTAGTGAGTAAGTTGAACTTGTTTGTACCCACCTCTGGGCATTTCTGAACTGTTATGTGCCAATTGGCCTCACAGGTTTGTTTGACACACACACACACACACACACACACACACACAC